ACAACGATCCGAAATATCCAATTCGAAGAAATAGTAACAGCGTTGGCGCAGATTGAAAGGTGGGATGGTTATATTACACTTTTACATAAAAACGGGATAAATGATCGCGAAATGCATTCGGACCATTGACTTCAATTTCCGGTCTATTTGACCTTTAGAGGAATACCAGTCCCTGAAAGCAATATAAACGAGAAACAATTTTGACCACATTCAACGGTACCGGGTTAGCAGTCCAATAAAATATTGTTGTTAATATGAGCAAGATTTAAGTTAATTAATGCCAGTATCATCATTTGCAACGGACTATGTCGTAAACCAAATAATAGGAGGTAGCCATCTGTCTGTAATATTTTTCGTGATATTACGGGAAAATTTAGTTCGGAGAAAAGGTTATCGTTTGATAGTTATCCCCAGCTCTTCCTACCCCTTTGACTTCAAAATTATCCTGAAATGAACTGAACTGAGACGACTCAGTGATCAGTCACGTAATAGGCAACTGGAACTATGACATAATGCTTAATAGGCTCTGTCATTAAGGAAGAGCCGGACAGGAGGAGTACCGCTGACAATAACTACTACTGCTTCAGCTGGGAAGATAAAAGATTCGAGCCCGGGTCCAGTTGGTTGCTGAGTTCGACGCTCTATTGTCCGAACCAGTCCGCATTCCGTGGACTGCGAGCAACACTACTAGAAGCCACGCAAAAATGGCCTTTATTGACTTAACCTGATTGTAGGATGCAATATACGCTTTTCCTTGAAGCTTTGTGCCCGAGAATACAGCTCATGTAGGGAGATCGTAAGGATAAGCGGTAAATTACCGAATAGTGCCAAGACTATACGCCCGACTGGATGACTCACCTACAGGCTTTTGATAAAACAAAATTTTTAGTGTTAGTAGCAATGATATCTTGTTTTGCCCGGTAACAATTGCGACAACTGGATTTTGGCGAGAATGGACGAAGCAATTGACCCAATTCATAGCGACGGATTTTTACTAGGAGGCTCACTTTGTTGCCACTTGTCGCTCTGTGACGTCACCTGACTGGATACTCCCTGGTTGGATGAATGCTTTTCGGACTGGCATCCATCATCCCATGGTTTGAAGGCCTCGCGGCCTTGTGGAGGTACTGGGTTCTCTGCGAGCGGGGACTGAACAAGAGGGCACTGACGGATAGAAGTGGACAGTACACTCTGATGCAGAGCCTCTGAACTGGAGGCGAAAAACAGGTCGTCCTAGTTGGAATAGATGGGTGGAGAAGTGGTAAGGTTGATTCAACAGTTAGTTGGAATGTTAATAAAAGGTCTGCATAATTTATCCTTCGAGGATTTTTAGGGTTGACCACCTTCGGTTTGGATAGACAAGGCGTTACACAATTAAGCAACCAGGAGAATTAGGTGCCCAAGTGAAATTGATGGTACCCCTTGCGTCCGGTGGGACTATTAGAGCCAAAAGTACAAACTGCTATATTATTAGGTTTTCCGGAAGATTTAAACAATTCGTTTGGCGGATTCCATACGATGCAGTAGGCTGGGCGTATAACTTGATTCAAGTACGATTAGGCCCGCGGCTCCCATTGAAGCTTTGTAACTCAAATTGTTAGAGCGTTGGCTGTACTCATGCCTTGACCACTAAGACCGCTGATTTCTTCACAATTGGGTCAAAGGAAAGCTACTAAATATCGATCAGCCTCAGGGGGCAGGCATTCGGAGGGTAAAGCACCATAATATTTGACTTGGACCAAGTATACGTCAACCCGTCATCTGACTACAATCGTGAGGGCCAAATTTAGTTCAGCACGCCAGACAGGTACGTAATGCGACACGGGCGTTTTGACTACAGAAACACATGGGTTCGGACGACCAACCCTACGTCACGAATGATAACAAAGAGGACTAAATACGAAAAGTACCCTTCAAAAAGAGCCAATCAGTTGTTTATAGCTCTTCTTGAAGCAGGACCAATGGCAGAAAAAGTACCATCATAGTTGTCCTAGCTTCGACTTAGCAGTGTGGTTATTTAGTAAAATCGGTTGCAAAAACGCTAAGCATGGTTTCTGCCTCTGGTAAGGAAGTTAAGGAAAACGAAATATCCATAACTCTACACTAAATTTGAATGCAAGTATACAAGAAAGATTTGCTATGCGGCTGTTTTTGGCGTCAGACTAAAGTTTCATAAACGAATGACCGTTTTCAGTCTGTGTCGAAGCGATACTTTTGACTAAGTGGCAAGGAAGTAGCAGTCACAAACTTTCCAGTACCACTCAGGGTTTTCAAAGAAGGCTAACTTTCCGAAATTAGTTCAGTGTGTTAACAAACCAGAGGGTGAAGCTCCAATCAGAGAATAGCTATTTCGTTAGTGTGCTCCAGTTAATTCCCGACGCTGAAAGTTTAAAAACCAGGTTGACCACAGCACTTTACAATCGGGTTTTAATTCACAAGCCATTAGGAATGCCTTCTTGCTTCCCAAAAACTCAGCCACAGGTACTTTTCCCATCTTGCTGCTGCATTCTTGGAGCAAAGTCTTTTAAAAATGCCATCAAGCCCACTCACCGATAAAGTTGTATTCATGCCTGAGCTATCCCGAACAATCCGCCAAGTGTGACAGACCAGTCACCAACGACCAGTCTCCACGATCGACGAACCATGCCAACATCTATACTTTCACCCCATCCCCGGAGCAAGCCTCCACCTTGGCCATTGGTCCATTACTCTGCCCTTTTACGGCGTTGCCACGCTAATGAATACCGCATCGCGCCATGAGCTCCTTTACCATCATTGGTTCTTTAAATTTATGCCCTCCGCAACCACTGCAGTTTAATACATATTTGTTAGGTAATTAATGGAAAACGTCAATTTATTCAAACTGACTTATTTGATTTTGTACTGTGCCTGTCCACTCGGCCTCAAGCCTTTGTCAGTCAGGGCTCACACCCGCTTCAAACTAGGCCTACCTTCCACTGCCGTAGAGGAAGGTGAGCCGCGAGCCAGTTGGTCCCAATGACGGCGGTCCCATACTACAGCCGTCGCTGGGCGGTGCACAAAGTAAACACCTAGCTCAGGCCTATTGCCCCCCTACATTGACCTCTTGTGTACGTTTAGGCAAAATGGATATTTGACCATCGCAAATTTCTGATCAAGGGCTCACCATCAACAGTAGCTTCGACCAATCGATCCCTTTAGCCCAATAAATGACTGAAATTAGAACCATATGAACGCATGTTATCCTGTGGCGTCTTCGCACTCTTCCCCCATTTCACACTTACCGACAGATATTGTGAATTGACTTCTGATTATGCGCTACGACCCGAGACGAATCCTTGAAGTCCAAATATTTCCTCCAGCTTTGACGACACTGCGTTAAAACCTACTTCGCATTTGATGGACAGATGCATGAACAAATCAAAGGCATTCCTATTCGGTCTGCCTACCAGGCATGTGCACTGAAGTAGTCCTTCGGCGGATAGAATACTGGGTGTTCATTAAGTATCAACAACAGCTGTGAGTTCGCTACGTCAATAACACTTTTCATTGTCAAAACAGATCTCATTGACTACTTCAAGGTAGTATTGAACTCAACTGCCCGACCCATCCTAAGAAAGACAGTCATCCGACACCGTCTATCGTCCGTACAAGGCACAGATGGACACAGCCGCTAAATGAACTCATCTTGGCTCCTAGGAAAAAAAGATGTGAGGTCCCGTATCCAAAAACAGGAAATGTAACAGCAAACTTAAACGGTATGGCGTCATGGCCTAAGACGAAAGAAAGACGTGAGCACGCACAGCGCAGTAGTCCAATATGGTCGCAAAGTGTACGGGCGACATCAGTTAGCTAACCTGCGTGCGCTGTACCATCGGGAACGCGTGATGTCTTTGCTTACGCCTGCGGCCCAATCAATGGCCAGTCGAACATTCGACATTTTGCCCTAGAGGGGGGTTCTCGAGCAAGAAAAGGCCAATCCACGATCAGCAAGCTACGGGCCAAAATGTTCTAGAATCGCCAGGATTAAAATAAATAAGTCGAGTTTTAACGAGCAAAAAATCGTTGCACTGGTTGGTAGAATAAACTGATAACTCACGAAACCCGCTATTAGGAAAGAAAAGACTACAGCATTCAATACCAGGCAAATGCCATATTCCTACAGCAACCATCCTCCATCGCACAGAGGTAGCTTTGTCTACGCTACTCCAAATAGTCCAAATAAATTGCAGCAGAGCAGCAAGCAGGCTAAACAACTGCACCTCCATATTCCTTTAGGACAAAGGGATATACGAGCAGAACAGAACAAAATTCGAGTGAACAGAGGACAGAATCGCAGTGGTGAGTTACACTAACAAGTCGCGATGACGGAGACATGATCGCTGGAACAGGAGCTTTATTAACCTGACGTGTCGGACTCTCACTCGAATCCATCATCAGAGACAGAGTCAGATAAGGGTGATACATTTCCCAGGTGTTGCAGTATATATAGGATGTAGTTGCTAGGCCGCTGCACGCCTATCGCAGTTGGCA